GTCCTTAGGACGATATGCGACGCATTCGATCCTAGGTTTTAGACTTTGGTACAACATACATTATAAACACTCAATAATTAAAACACTTCTTTTCTAAAAAACAAAAAAACACTTCAAATCTTTTTTCATCCTTCGGGATTTTAATCGAGGAAAATCTTTTCAGATAAAAGAGTGTTGTTAACTCTTAGTTCTACTGCAAACAGTAACGCCTAAGTCTCCAATGGTCAAGTTGCATACACCAACTGCTAGAACTACTTGTTAACCCTACTCGGGCCTAAATTTTTTTGAATCAACCGGTGTTCTTGCTAGCCCGAACTACGTTTGCTCTGATCTTTCATACCAGATGAAAGTACGTAGGCACAAGATGCGATGTCTTGGCGAGATGATTGACCTAAAATAATATGAAAAAAATGATTAGAGGATCTGAGGATAAAATTTGGGGTATGACACAACTAATAATAGAAATTTTAAAAAATAGAATAGTAAAATAATAAATAAAAAAGACAAAAAAAAGAAAATAAATATGATAAAAGGGGAAAAAAATAAAATGGGCTAAGAAGCCCAATCAGGAGGGGATGGATGTCAAGAGTGAAAACATGGGCTAAGAAAACAGGTTTCTCAGGTTAAACTACGTGAAACACAAATTAATGTCACTAACATTTGCAAACTCGATTTTAAAATTTTCCGTCTACTGGTTTTACACACAATTAACTTTTAGTTTGACCAAATCAGTAGTAATTCTAACAAGTTTATTTCAGCTGATAAATTAGGTATCATGCGAGATGATTGACCTAAAATAATATGAAAAAAATGATTAGAGGATCTGAGGATAAAATTTGGGGTATGACACAACTAATAATAGAATTAAAAAAAATAGAATAGTAAAATAATAAATAAAAAAGACAAACAAAAATAAAATAAATATGATAAAAGGGAAAATGGGCTAAGAAGCCTAATCAGGAGGGGATGGATGTCAAGAGTGAAAACATGGGCTAAGAAAACATGTTTCTCAAGGAATTCCCAAAGTTCACGTGTTTATTTCCATGCCTCCATCAACAAGTCTCTTCAAGCCATTACAAGCTTCATCAAATGAAAATCAAGAGCACATAATTTTTTAGTACATATGATCATCATTGTGCCTTGAAATTCAAGAAAATATCCAAGGTTGCAAGTTTGTACAAGGAGGTTTTACCAAAAAGTCAACATTTCAAGCATAATTTCAAGACTTCATAACTTCTTCATACTTCAACATTTTTGAGTGCTTATTTAGGCAAATGATTTATATTGACATCCTCTCCAACTTCTCTTCCCAAGTCAAGAGCCAATTATGCTTGAAAAACCATTAAAAGTTTGAATACATTATAGGTCATTTGGTGGACTTTGAAAGTTTTTGCCTAAATTCAAGTATGACATGCCTATGTTCCAAAGATCATAACTTCTTCAATTTTAAACTTTTATAGGCACTTCGTTTTGCCAAATATCCCTCTTGATGTCCTCTACAATTTTTTTTTAGAGGTAAAACATCAATTCATGTTGTAAGGACCTCAAATCTTGAAGTTCATTTGTGCACAAAACTAGGTCATGACCTGTTTGACCTAATGCCTGACCTGATTTTCAGTGCCACGACCTCAACTTTCACCTCAAGCATCATTTTGGATTGATTCTTTTTGCATTGTGTTCTACTCCATGAATGGATCATTTGGCTCAAATTAAATCAAGAAATGCATGAGTAGATTGTATTTGGCCTAACTATGAACATGACTACTTGAAACTGAGTTATGGTTCATGATCAGTCTTGATGAAGATGAGATCGTTACCTATTTTCTTTTCGTGCGGTATTGCTTTCGGAGGATGATCTACATATCTTCTCTCTAGCATACATTAGCACAAACATTATTATTGACCGGCCTCAGATGGTCGTGACTTCTACATAAGGTCCGATTACGATTACTTAAGGTAGTGCTAAATTGTCCATTTTCAGCACAGCAAAAGGGAAATTTTTCATTTTTCACTGTGTTAATCGATTAACACCAAATGGTTAATCGATTAACCAGTGCGTTTTTTGTGAAAATGAGCCAAGTTCACATTCAGCATTTTGGCACCAAAATCCACTTGTTTCATCATGAGAGTACTCTAGATCACCTCATTTTAATTCCCATACCGCATCATAATTAATACCCATCATACACCCTTATTAATCACCACTTGATATTGATTTTGCCTCCAAATTTAAATTCCAAACTTATTTCAAATTCCATACACTACAAGAAAATTGGCAAATTGCGATGGTTCATTTTGACATATTACGACGATTTTAATCGTCATAATTTGTAAGTTACGACGGTTTCAACCCCGTCGCAGAAACGTGCGTCGCGAGGCCGTATTGCGACAATTGTGAAAACTGTCGTACAAACCGTCGTTATTTTCACGACGGGTAGCTAACTGTCATAATCTCCATATTGTGACGGTTTTCAACCGTCGTAATTATATTTACTAATTCTAAATATTATTTATTTTCACGACGGGTAGCTAATTGTCGTAATCTCCATATTGTGACGATTTTCAACCGTCGTAATTATATTTACTAATTCTAAATATTATTTATTTTCACGACGGGTAGCTAACTGTCGTAGTCTCCATATTGTGACGGTTTTCAACTGTCGTAATTATATTTACTAATTCTAAATATTATTTATGCTAGTTGCGACGGTTTAAACCGTCGTAATTTTATCTATAGAATTTTTTTTTATAATATTCTATTTTTATTTAAATTACTTTCATCTCATTTTTTTTATAATAGTTTTTTAATTTAAACTATTATTGTTTTTTTGGTAATATATCAAATATATAAAGACTCACGTATATCAAATATATAAAGACTCACATATAACAAATATATAAATTTATATAACTTAAAAAACAATTGATATTTCATTATATCACTTTTCTAAATAACTTATTATTTTTCTACTAAATATATACTTATGAATATCTAAATGATCAAATGTCATAATCTATAACTTGATATATACAATATAATCAATATAATTGTACAACCTATGATGATCCAAGATATTCTGCCCAATTTTCCACACCAAGTGATGATCCAAGATTTTCTACCGATGGCTGAAGAATTCTTTGGTATGATTTTGCCTTAGAGGATAGACATGAACATCTACAAAAACTTAAAAATTACTTCCAGTTAGCACCAATAAAGAAAATCACTTGTGGTCTTCTAGTATCATCATAAGCCCTTCATAATCAGTTTTGTAGTCTTCTAGTTGCTACTAATCTTTTGGCTTCACCAACACGCTCTTCCAAAAGCAAAACTTTCTCAGGTTGTGTATGGTATTCTAGTAGTTTTTTGTCTGAAAAACACTTGTATTTGTTAAGAATAAGAATAAGAATGTTATACAAAATAATGCACGAACATGATAAACTAACTGATCAACAGAATGAATGACCTCATAAAGTTGTTCTCTGATGGCAAAGGCAACAACTGGCTGGAAAACAATAGTGTTTTGGTGTTTAGTATGCTTCACAATTACTAAAGAAGGTTTTGTCTGTTTACGTATTACAAATTAATTCATTACTAGCAATAGTTAAATATACTTACTCCAACCTCAGGATCCTTAATGCCCATGTCTCTGTAGAAGGTCCTTGCAAACTCTTCAGGATCACTATCGAAGTTGTTCAAGTCCTGGAATTTAACAAATTTAGACACATACTCACAGATCCAACAAAAAAGTGCAGCAAATCAGAAGATAACAGTTCCATTCCTATAATACAATGATTGCGCTGTGATCTTACCCATAAAAATTGGTCTTTTACAAGCATATGATTTACACGAAGATCAAGTTGTAAAAAAGAACAACACAATTTTGTCAATAGACAAATACTTTATTAATGACATGTATATTACACCTATTTCCCTTGAGGGTTTCTTAAACTAGAGACCTCAGTCCTAAACTACACAGGTGACATACCTTGCTAGAACTCATCATCATCAACGGTAAGCATGTCTAGGTGACATACCTTGCCAGAACTCATCATCATCAACGGTAAGCATGGCTGCAAATGTAAGGGTACGTGCATTAATAAGAATTCATATTAGAAAGTTCAACAAAATTCCCTCAAACTCCCCACCTAAATCTATTATAAATTGCATTCACCAATTTGGGATAGCAGCATGGGTCCATGGTTTGGAAGAACACAAAACATAATGCTTAAATATAGACTCTGCTCTATTCGGAAGGAAAGGGGAGCATCTAACTCAATGCAATTGAATGAGATACTTAGTAGCTGTTAGTAGTTAGTTAGGCTGCAGCCATCCCAATGCCAAAAGGCCCTATTCCTTTCGTATGATAAGATAATCCCCTCTCAATTAATAGGCAGCATGCCTTATTTAACCTATATACCTCTCATCAGAACTATTAGCTATCCATTAATTAACAAATAACTATTTCTTAACTGAGAATAACAGACCTATCAAAATGATATTGCAAAATAAGTTGATAAAAAGATTGTTTAGTGCGAACAACCAATTTAATGACAATTTATTACTTCTAAACCTTGTATTTGATATACATACCATGATTTCCTTTTCTTAAACACATGACACTTTCCTTTTTCAGTGTATGACCCTTCTGCAAGATGAAACTGAGTTATTTCATTTGTTCTTTTAGTGGAAAGGACCAGTTACTACCTAGCCAATAGGAAGGTGAAAGACTACGTCAATTACTTCCTAACTGTGAACTCCGTAAATTTGATGATAGTGGCCATTTCTTATTCCTGGTATTCTTTTCTCCTTTTCTTTTCTTTTTCTTCTGCTGGCATGCTTCTTGTTAAGTTTCCATCCAGGAATGCACCGTGATCTTATTCGTCTTATACAAATGAATCAAACCAATAGGAGTTTAACTCTTTAGGGCCTTTGCAGGAAGGCAGCCTTGACCTAGTAACAATAATCAAGGAAACTTCATACTACCAGCGTGGCAAGTATCATGACTATGCTTCAGGATTTCATACCGCCTACACGAGATGAGGTCAATAAAATAATAGAATCATACAGGTAAAACTTACTGAATAAATTTGACTATTTAAGCTATTAACACAAAGTAAGTGAATTCATATTATATAAACGCGGAAGAGGCAGGGAAAACTTAACCTGCAACTACCATGATGAGTTGTTTGATATTGATGTCTTGATGACATTGTATGCGTGTCAATTCATATTTGTTTATTCTTGATAATTTAATTGATCTGCAATCAACTAATAGCATTTAACACCTTTCAATTATAATGCTTCCAGTTTTTTTAACTTCATCACTAGCTCTGTAATGCTTTCAACTTTGGAGGATGGAAAGATTGTAAAGGGCCTTGCTGGAATTCCTTCTGAGGGGTCTGTTTTGTTAGTTGGGAATCACATGCTGCTAGCATTGGACAAAGTTTCCTTGTTAACTCGAACTTATACTAAACGAGACATCACTGTTCGAGGAATGGCACATCCCTTTATGTTTAGGAGACTGAAAAGTGGAAGATTGCCAAAAGTATCTTTTTTTGACTGGTTAAGAGTTATGGGTATTGTTCCTGTAATGGTGACTAACCTTTTCAAGCTTTTTTCTTCCAAGTCGCATGTGCTATTATTTCCTGGAGGGTTTCATGAGGCTTTTCATAGGAAGGTAAATCCATTAAGTTGGCTCTTTATTTTGAGTTTGATCTTTCTCAAGGAATCTGGTTTTGCTCAGCCGACTTTATTTGAAATCTTTGACTTGTTCTTCTTGAACAGTTGTAACTAAATGCAGTCGGCTGGTTAGGAAGTTTCAATAGGGCCTGTGATTTATATGAATTGAATGAGTTATCAATTATAAATTATACCTTATAACCTGTTATTTTATAATTCATTTAAGGGTAAAATGAAATATAATTCATGAATTGTCGTAGGTCTTGGATGTACTGGAGAAAAAGAATATTACTTTCCCAGCATAATCATAAAATTGCACCAAATGCTTGGTGTTTAATATCACATGTGGGATCTGTCAAAAAAATAAAAAATAAAACCACATGTTCGAAGTTAATGCACCATTTACTTGCATACTGTCTGTCTGGTGCATCTGGCTTGTGACAAATATGTAGAATGGGATACAACATGGTTTTAAATTGCGGTTAAAAACAGAAATTGCGGCTGTAATATTGCCGATGATGCAACATTAAGTGTTCTGCAACAACTGCAATCCCATCCGCAGACATATAAGATGATGCCGGAGGTGCTGGGTTATGATGGTGTCCGGGGATCATCACATTCAACCACACAAGTGAGAGAGACACCACATCTTAACTCAAAGTCTTAGGTACTAAGTCTATGGGTCCTCTCACTTATAAAGTGTTCACAAGCAAACAATATCCTTGTAGCTTTTAGAAAAGAAAACAAGGCGTCAAAAAAAGAAAGGAAACGATTACTGTATTATTTAATTCACATTTAATGTTGGAATTTCAGTGTTTATTCTTTTTAAATTATGTTGTGCCTCTGTTTTTATATTTATGATCTAAAATATACTAGGATTATTAAACTGTCCATCATTTTGTGATAATTATCAGGGTGAAGAATACAAGTTATTCTAGCCTGAACAATCTGAGTTTGTCAGGATGGCTGCCAGATTTGGGGCCAAAATCGTACCTTTTGGTTCTGTTGGAGAAGATGATCTTGGTCAAGTAAGTTTTAGTATTTAATCAGCCAATGGTTTTCCTTTACAAAGTAATTATTTTTCTCAAAATGCTGGCATCAAAGGCAAACCCTTTTCCAATTTTTATGGGAAGCATAATTCTACTATAGTTTCTTACTCAGCAAGTTATTATGAACTATACGATTGGGTTCTGTCACCTCACCATTTTATAGCAACTCTTTGAAAAAAGTCACAGTTTATCTTCTATCTCGTGAAAATCTATCTGGAACTATGAAGAATTTGTGTACTGTAACACTCACCTTTTCTACCAATGTCAGAAGTTATCTATGGCCGTAGCAGTAGTTGAAAATTTTTATAAGCTAAACTAGCTCGTAGAAGTTTCATGAAAGAAACGTATATTTGGTTACTAACTTATAGAGATCGTATAAATTTACAGTTGCATATGGAGAAATTGGAAAAATGTCAAGTCTAATGCAAAAAGTTATAGTTTAGCTATGATAGTATAAATGTTTCAACTTTTATTCTCCTATAAGGATTACTTGTTGAGAGTTTATTTACATTGACTAATAGCCTTACTTTCTCTGAGACAAAAAGCAAAGACCACTAGATTCATGAGGAATACTACCAATAGTGTTGTCGAGTAGTGGCACCATAACACTATATATAAAAAAAAACGGCTATTGTTCCCTACTACGTGATGAAGTAATAACTACTATAGCAGCACTATACAGTGGAATTTCAAAGAACATCTATTTCATATGATAAGAAATAAACAATACTTAGAATTATTAATATACTAAGCAGTAGATGAAGAAAAATACCCTCTTCTTTTTCCTCTATCCCTCTGATGATTTGAGATTTAGCTTCTTCAAAAATGAGAGGCTCATAGATAGAAATATAATGATCCACATCTTTGTAGTTGTCTTTCAACTTCACATGTTTCAGAGCTGATCCGGTAGAAACGGCGGATTACAGATTCTTCTTGAAGCTTTTCCTTATCCAAGGCCATAAGAACGAGAAAGAAGAAAGAGAGAGTATAAACCCTAGTTAGAAGCAACGATCTGCAACTTGACAACTTAACCACCACAACCTGTTACAGGCGGCCGCTCAATGCAAGGAAGTGTTGAATGCTGCCAACTTGCAGAGCAACGGTGATGAGAAGACTTTCAAACGGGGTAGCACCACAGCGGTGGTGGAACAGTCGAGCCAGTTTCTCCAAAAAAATAGGGCTCAAATTTTAAGGACTTGCCTTTAATATATTATTGACGAAACTTATAGTACCCACGCGTATGAAATATAGATTGTACTTTTATCTACTATTTATGACCCAGGCCCACCCATTTTTTTTAGTTTTTAGTTTTTAATTTTTTTAATTTTTTGTTTTATTTCATCTTTGTAATATTTAATAATTAATAATACTAACAACTAACAAACTAACCTAAATAAAAATCTAAAAAATATTAATAATTAATTAAAAAAATGAATTTTAATTTTAAAATATTAAAAATAATAATTTTAATTGTTAATTTAGATTTTTATAATAAAAATAAAATAACAAAAAAATATGTTTAGTCTTAATTTAACTTTCTTTTATAAAAAAAAATACAAAAAAAAATGTTTAGATATGTCCTTTTTTTCCTTAACAAAAAAAACTCAAAAAAATATTTACTTCAAATGTAACAAAATTTCAAAACATTTTATCTAATTAAACGAGAAAGAAGCTAACCTTATTTATCATAAAGAAGAGGGTGTGAACGGTGCATGAAGAAGTGAGGACGGTGAACGGAAAATGAAGCACGGTGGAGGACCAGTGCGAGAGGAAGAAATTGGATTTTTTGAGCATGAAACAGATGAATTTGAAATGTTAAAACATTTATATATATTAACATTGTTACCAAAATTAATTTTAATAAAAGTTAACTATTTATATAATAAAATATAAAATATTTTACTATTATTTTAGACAAAAATATTAAGCTACATTTTCATCAAAATTATAATAATTATTTATTAAATAAATTATAAAATTGAAAAGGTTAGAAAATAAAAATGAAGAAAAAAGTGAAAAATTAAAGGAATAAAAAAAATAGTGATTATGATTGGCTAAAGTAATTGCGACATTTCGTCTTAACTGTCGCGAGTGTGGAAAGAGGGCGGTTCTTTGGTAACTGTCGCATTATTTTATACAACATGTCTAAAATATTTGCGACGGTTGGCACAAACCGTCGTGAAAACTGTTGTAGTCCAGGAATAAGGACGATTTTTTGATAACTGTCACAAAAAATCTACGACAGTTGACCCTAACTGTCGTGACAACCGTCGCAATCCAAGGATAAGTACGGTTTTGTGATAACTGTCGCAACTCAAGTGTCGTAAATCTCCTTTTTTCTTGTAGTGATACCACCAAAATTTCCAAGCTTAAATTCTATAAACAGATGCCTCACTTCATTCATTCTTCAAGCTTTTAGGAGCTAAATTCACCTTGTTAAAATTCCTTCTCATTCTCTCAATTTTCTTCAACAACCAAATTCACTAAACCTCCCTCTTCCATTAAAACTTAGTAAGCTTTTCATTGAAGCTTACTAACCTTTGAGCTAAAACCTTCATCCAAACACTTCATCATCATCAAATTCTGTAGATCAAGGCGTTGGAGTGTAGTTCTTGAAGTTGATTTGAAGCATTTTCAGATTTTGAATTGGTAAGCACTTGCTCCACCATTGTTGTGCTTGATCCATATTCCACAATGTGACATATGGTTGATTCTTGTTGCTTGATCTTTGGATCTTGAAAATTGTGTTTTATTGGTGTTATTTGTTGTTGTTTTGCTTGAGTTTTCGTGCACAATTAAATCCTTGATCAAGAGGTGTTTGAAGAAATGATTGATCAAGAACTTTGCAATTTTTTAAATTGGTTTTCACTTCTATAACAATGTTAATCGATTAACCACCTACTGTTAATCGATTAACCAAATGAAATTGTACGCAGGATTTGCATTTTTGTAGTGTTAATCGATTAACACAGTGACAGTAGTTGTTTTTGGCCTTGTTTTGGGACTGTTTTGGTTTCTCTTTTTCCTTCTTCAATTTCCTTTTGCTTTTCTTTGAATTTTGATGTTTGTTGATCAAATTTCTCTTTAAATTCCATGGACTTTGGGTGTTGATAAGGTTTAGTGCCTTAAACCTCCAAGAAGAGTGGTGGAACTTAAAGATGAAATTATCCAAATGTTGTAATTCAATTTGGTTTCCCTTCTCCCCTCTTCTCTTTTTTCTTTTGATTAATGAAAATATTCAATGTCATTAGAACTTGTTTCAAGTTCTTGATGAAGATGAGATAGTTACCTATTTTCTTTTCGTGCGGTATTGCTTTCGGAGGATGATCTACATATCGTCTCTCTAGTATACATTAGCACAAACATTATTATTGACCGGCCTCAGATAGTCGTGACTTCTACATAAGGTCCGATTACGATTACTTAAGGTAGTGCTAAATTGTACCTAAATTGAAACTAAGTCAATTTTGTAAGTGAGATGTTATTTTCCTAATCTCCATAGTGTAATTTGAAATAATTGGATATTTTGTTACCCGTGGGGGTTAGTTGGCATACTCATTGATTTTATCCGAGTTAAAGCCCTCCCCATGGTAATGTATGAGACTATGTTTTCATTCTTATGGATGATTAGTCGCGTATTCTCCATACTTGGATAATTTGTGCTTCAAGAAGATTGATAATGCTATTATGTATATTATACTAACCATATTATTTTACTAATTTTGTTTATGTTTCCTTCTTGCTCCCTATATCTTTACTTTTACACTTTTATTTTTATCATATCATATCATGTTATTGTTTTTGCTTCCGCTCTTTTTACTTTGTCCATTTGGACCATATTTTGTTGAAAAGATATTAATAAAGGATTAAACCTCTAAAACCTTGGTTCTCTTAATTCTTGTGGTTATGCTTGAGGATGGACCTAAACCTTGGATTTCATGGATTATTCTTGCACCCTTGGACTTCTTGGATTACTCTTGGACTTGGACTTAGAATTAGGACTCCTTCCCTATGCATGGATTATTATGGATTTGAGATCTTGGCCTTTATTTGGCTTTTGCTCATTGACTTATGCTCAAGGTGGAAGGGCTTCTTATTTGGCTTGCTATGGAGTTTTCTATCTTTTGGTTAGATCCTTCTTATCTCTAGCTCTTATTTTGCTTTCTAGGGTAGTCACTTCTTTTCCCTTTTTCAAAATCTTCTCCCTTTTTTAAAACTGTCTTGTTTTTCAAAGTTAAACCTCTTTCATAATAAACCTTGACTTTGGTCAAGTGATTTTTCAAACTTTGTTTTCTTTAATAAATGTCAATCAATGTTAATCATACTTTTACCTTTTCAAAAAGACATATAAAATACAAAAACTCATTCAAACTTTTGTGTCTTTGTTCACTTTTTCATTTAAAACTTTTCATTAAGTTTAGACATGAGTCATTTTCATAGTTGAGATGTAATTCTCCTATTCCCCATATTTCTTAAGATATTGTCATTTTCCACTTAGATGTTGAGTGATAGACTTGTTGGTTTTATTCCAAGAAAAATCCTCCATCTTTGAGTGATGCAAATGTAGTCTTATACTTGTGGGCGACTAGTCGTAGTTTTCTCCTTAAAATGACGAATTGTCTTTACATTTAAAAATCAATCAAAACAAACCATTTTTGTTATTTGTATCATGAACTACTGGGTTTTGATTTTATATTTCACTTTGTGGGTACGTAGGCATGACACGGTAAGTCTCTCCAAACACAAAAATATTAAAAAATACTTCTCTTCTCATCTCCCCAATCTCCTTTCAAACAAAACTTTTTAAACCAAAAAGCGTAGATATTTCAAACCAAACTTCTTATTTATGCTTTATTTGTTTGATTTGACTGTTATTGGTTTTTTTTTGT